ACATAGGAATCCTGCTGACGTGTAGGTCTCCCAGTGCACATGGGAACATTGGAAAATGTGTTTTGTTATCAGTGCATTCTTTTGCTTCCTGCTTCCATAGCACTATTATAGTCCTTTAATCTTGTCAGTCACATTTTTGGCACTGTTTACCCTTTGCCAGCCATTCTCCCACGATTCAGGCCAAATTTTTGCCGACTTTTCTCTCTGAAGGAGATTTTGGTAAAAATTCTAGCGCAGTTTGCCGACGGGGAGGGGGCACTTTGCACTTTCGTTTCTTCACTAGTTCTGGTTTTCAAGTCTCACTTCTCCACTGATTGGCTGTAAACCTGTGAAACCTTTTGCGAAGTTCTGAAAGGTTGTCTAAGCAGTAATGGAAACTCTGTCAACTCAAGGAGAAGGCGTCTAGATGGATCTACTACGGTCGATGGAAGCGATAAAAGCAAAGGGAACAGCGCCAAAAATTCTTTCAAAGGTGTTAGCATCTCTGTACACGAAAATCACCGTTGCTTGGCTCGAGGCTACTGGTGCCCCACCCCGGTTACACCACCGCATGACTGTTTCCAATCCCGTGTAGGGAAGATTCCAGGCGATTTCTTAGATGGTGTGCTATGGCCGGCAAGGAGACGCGGTGGACAAGGCAGCGTCCTTTTGGCTACCACCAATAAGGATCTTTATCTTCAACAAGATCAGTCTCAGCAGAGGAGGGGATCTTTATCCCGAGGAAATGTGCAGACGAGCAGAAGTAGGCTGCACTGTCACGTTCATCTTCCGTTCCTCCAACCTTGATTCCCTTGGGACATGCAGATGTGATATTCGTGTTCATGGGTCAAACTATCTTTAGGGAATAAGATCCCACCTAGTGTTGTGATACCTTTGGGCCCTGGGTCCAGGCTGTTTTGTGCCAGGCGATGTCGGATCGTGCTGTTCGGGGTCTTCTCTCTGATCATCGTTATTCGTACTCGCGGAAGGGGAGGAGGACGGTCAAGCTCTCCCTGAAGACCGATTCCTGACTCGAACTCAGAAATCTGAAACAGGTAAGGGTGAATAGTGCCTATTTTTCTAATGAAACTGTCATGGAGGACTGGATTGCTGAAGAGCGCCACGCAACCTTTTTGCAGAAGTTCTGGTTACTAGCATTGATGTGAATGTTACACTTTACAATCAGCAGTGGTTAGAAGCCTAGCTCTGCCATGACTTTCTCTCCTTTTGCTTCTAATGAAGCTTATTTATTCTGGTAGACCCGTTAAATAATTATTCTGCCTTGTTCTGTCGATATGGGAATATTTCGTGGATGGCATTTCTCTGTATGTCGCTCCTGTCAACAACACTCGTCCAGCTCAATAGCAGCCTCTATATTTTCAGGATGCTGTCATCACGCGTCGTTGCTCGCTTGGGTGCTGTTCGGGGTCTTCTCTCTGGTGCATCATCACATCCACGCCAGGATGTTGAAGGCCATCCACCTCCTCCCGTCACGCAACTGAGCGAGCATGAGCTGAATCTGAAAGACACAGGTACTTGATTTTCTTAGCTATAAAGCACTTTTATTTGCCGGTAGCGACAGCGCGAGGCGAAAAGTTTCCCACAAGGTTAGCATAGCAACGGCTTTTTTGCCTTTTTTTGTGAATTTTTACATTTTGATTGGTTTCCTGAACAATTCTTGTACTCTAGAGGGAAGCAGAAAAGAAATTCGCGGCCGTCTAGGTGATGGTGCGCCCTACACAAGGGTTACTTCATACCCAGAAAGGGTAATTTACAACGCACTGAGTGTAGATTCGCTTTCCAAACTTTTGCAGCTGACTGAGAAGGCAATACAAACATTGCTGCTGTTTTTGAAAATTCTTTATTTTGCTGGTTGTTTCCGCCAACACATTCGGATGGGCCTGGCCCACTCATAATTTCTCTATTGATTCACAACTTCCATAGCGTGCGGAGAGAGTTCAGTGAAAGACAATTTGCTAACTTCAACGGCCCGTAGTGGAGCGAACCCAGCTACAAAACTTCCTAACAACTCCTCCCCAAGTCCCTATGGTTGAAATCAGATTATTTGGAGGAAAATGAAGATGTTCACATCTCCTGCTCAACGCGTGGTCTGACGGTATGCTTTGTGAAAAATGCTTTCGGTTATTGACAATTCTGGGTTTTTCCTGTTTCACGTGCTCTATGAATCCACCCCTGCCTCTCCAACAGGGCACATGGTTGTTGGGTAATCCCCAGAAGGGTCGTATTTGGGTCCGCCACGAAAGGGGGGTCTTTATTCAAGACTGAGAGAAAGTTATTTTGATGGTATGATTTTCCCGTTTCACGGCGTCGTTAATGGGAGGTGAAGGGGGCGGACGTCTTACTGTCAACTATTGTGGGGCGGGCGTCGTTGTTTTCTGGGAGTGGTGGGAGTAGTTGGTCTTCTTTAGTGATTTCCTGGTTATCGTATATACGCGGCCACACCCTCGACTCACGCAAAAATTTCGGGAAATTAAAAAGTGCGGGGGGCAGGAAAGTTGGCGAAAAACTAAAACTGTTAGAAGGGGGGGGGCTGTTCGTATTCTGCTCGCGAGTTTTTTCTATTGTTTCCGGATCTATTCCCGCACCCCACTTCCACATAAGCATTTTGCCCCTCCCTTACTCCCCCCGCTCACGCGAGCCTTCGATGAGGAGGCACAGAGGTCGGCCAGTTGCTCCCTACACTTTTTCGAAGTTTTTCCTTCGAACCGTGGAGTTGAAACATGGCACTACATTGGTATCGGTAATTTTGGTCGAGTCCGTACGACCCGTGCCCCCAAAATAAGGGGATGCGCCTGTTTACAACTCACTGTTCGAAGGAAAAACTTCGAAAAAGTGGTAGGGAGATGGTAGCTAAGCTGGTTGATAGGGAACACGGGGAACAGAATGAAGAATTTAAAGAAGGTTCATTATGCGATAGATCCCCTCCCCGCCCCAACGGAAGAACATGCCTGAAACTTAGAATCGTCCGTCTCTAACTACTGTGTAACTTTCCATCGCAAACTGAGTTTCATGTGCTCTGAAGCAACTGTTCCGCGAACAACATCCAGTCTTTAAATGTCGTTCAAGGAACAGTGGAGAGATACCTTCATCTAAGATGTGGATATCACTCAAGTGCAGCCGAAAAGTAATTGAGATTTGGACTGAAGAAGAGGTCAACTAGTATTTATCAGTTCTCTCATGTAAAAGAGAATAGATAGCGCATAGTATAACGGCAAGAAAACCGTGTATATAATACTTCAGGACTGAAGGAGTGGTCCTTGAGGTGACCTTCTTATCACCTTGAGACCTTTCTATCACGCAGACGGAAAAAAAAACACCAAAGTGCTCCCGTGAAGAAAATGGAAACCGGTTATGACCAAATGTTGTTAACCTTTTGCGTCTGGCATGACTTATTTGATTGTTTCGCGAAGAGCAATGGGGGAAAAGAGAAGAGGAGGGATGTTCGCATTTCCAGGGGCAGTTCGAAATTTTTTTTCTATAAGACCGGAAAATGGGGATGGTACTGCTGCAAGCAATGGTCGCCAAAGCCATATTTGAGCCCATGAGCAACTCTGCCTTCAAAGACGATTGCCGCGACCAAATGTAACAGGTAGCACGTGCTCAGTCACCAGTAGCCCATCGAAAACTCATCTTTAGAGAAAGAAGCGAAAACAAATTTGAAAACACCCTGAGCACAGAACCCCTAACAGGGGAGGGGGCGTCGCCTTGGACGAGTTTATCATAGAGAGAAAGCATCCAGATCAGCACGGCTTCTAGGGCACCAGTTCCTCGCAAGAGCATGGAAATCGCCCTATCGACGCTCCAGGAATTACGTACACAACGCAATCACGCTCTGTAAGGCCGTGTCCTGAGGTTACATTTTTCTTAATGGGAACCATCAAGATTCTAACGTGGGTATATTCGATGACTAAGAAAGATTTGTGTTGTAGTACGCAAGACAGTTATCTGACAGCCTTCTTGCGCGTTACAGCGGCATGTCTCGGAGCACAGGTAGAGCATTCTTGGGAAAATCTCATCAAGAACAGTACTTGGCCACTGCTAGGGGGGTCGTACTTTGTCGGTTGGGATGCTCTCTAGCCTTTGAGGAACGATCCCTGATGATGCAAAAAGTTGTGTAGGAATAGTAGTGTTGTCCACAGTGGACAACGTTATGCCAGTTTTGTCACGGAAAGTTACAAGATAACAGGAGGAAGAAAATAGAGTGAGGGAGGCGCCAAAGTCGCTCCGGTGGCACTTCCTTGTTCAATGTAACTCCAGACTTTTCCTTCAAAATGCCTTTTTCGCATTAGAACACAACTAGGTCAACCGCAGGTACCTTATAAATGATGATGTTGGTCTCTTCTTATGGGATCACAGGGTTCATTGAAAGAATCAGCCAACCTGGACTGATTCACCAACAGCAGGCCTGATCGGGCGCCATTGACCCGTACAGTTGTTTTGAGCTGACTGACCTTAAAAGGCGTAGCCAACGTTCTTTGGCATTTTCTCTTTACGAAGAGTCTTTTGACAACTTCTGTTCCACATTTCGACACCACTACCTACGCTCCTTATCGCGGACCGTGCCTTCCAAGGATTTTCCCGAGAAAGCTCTCTGGTTATTAATTTTTCGCGATTTTTCCCGCTTCATGTGCGCTATGCCGCTCCTCCATCGTTCGCTCGTGTAGGGTAGTTTGTAGATGAAAAGCGGGCCATTCGTGGAGAAAAAAATACAAATGGAATTCTTCAGCGTGAGTCGTACCGAAGTCCGCGCTTCCATCCCGATAGCTGAACCGTGCAGGAAGTCCTAGAGTCTTTTCCATTCATTAGCTTGCGCACGTAGAACGCTCGGTTGGGGGGGACGAGTAAAGCAACTCACTCGCTGAATTCGTCGCTCATTTATATCCTCGGATGGCACTTCCTTCTGAGATGCGCCATACAATGCTTTGCTGAGTGACGAAATATTTCGTCGTTGTTCTCACATCTTCTAAATTCATTATTTTCAGTGAAAAGGTTCTCGAACAATGTGGTTAAGCCATTGGTACGTGAAATGGACGAGAAATCGCAAATGCATCAATCGGTCATTACGGGAGTCTTTGAGAACGGGGTATGTCGTTTTTGTCGTTCATGCCACTAACGAGCCATACGTTTATCATGGAGCACGCTTCATGTCTTTTTCTGGCCCTAGGTAGGTTGAGACTGTGATAATGCCTTACAGAGTGATGCCAGTTTAGCACAATCTCCACCGCTTTCGATGAAAAGATCAGTTCTTGTAGTGCCTACGATTTGCAGCGAAATTCCGAGGCTACCGCTTCATGGGTTTTGCCGCGTTCTTCCGCGCTCCACAAACGGTTTTAAAGCGGAAGAAGCTTTGTGGAAAGAAGTAACTTGTGTTGTTAATAGATACTTATTCCGCGACATCATGGGAATGTTGTTCAAAGTAGAATGCGTACCGCATCCCAAAAAGGAATTGATCAACGGCGAAGATGAGCACGGAGGAGGAATACAGAAATTTGTTCAATTCCCGTCTAAGGGCACGTGCGAAACGGGAACTAGCTACCTTTTGACCTGTAACCGCCTAGCAAAAAAAAGATTTTTTATGAAGGCATTCAATCATAGTTCAAAGCATAATAATCCATTTCCGAAATAAAACTCTACAAACAACTCAAAAAATAAATAGAAGTAGAAAGATAATAATCGATATCAACACAAAATTAAAATTTTAAGAAAATAAAAAATTACAACATATAAAAACATATTAAACAATCACTATTTTTTACCCTTATCCTTTAACTTGTGAAAATGTGAATGAAACCGTTGAACCCGTCCAGAATAAGGTCCTCAGCTGATTTCCAGCATTCAAAGAGGACGTGATGAATTCCAATGAAGAGACGCTCAGTGACAGACCAACCTAGCGCCACATCTACGAAGACACGAGCGAAAGAAGGTTCAATTGCTGGAAAGTTGTTCTTCATTGTTCTTCGAAGCTTCGTCGTAAATGAGGAACTTTGACGGTCTAGAGGGCAAATTATGACTCCTGAGCCACGTTAAGGCCTCCGAGTTCAACGATCTTGTCGAAAACTTAGACCGGTAATGCGCAGTTACACCGAGCCCTCCTTGGCACACAATAATCCCACCAAAGTAAGAAGGATGTCGATCGCATACAGTTGTACATTCATGTGCATCGATCTTCGGAAGTGGGCGGGCTTCTGGCTATTGCAAGCCCCCAACGTCCTTGTATACCTTTCCAGTGACAAAGATTCTCTCCCTCTCTCTCCGCCCCTGAGCGGCTGCTGGCTGCGGAACTGCTGTCCTTGACGCCAGCAGAACCCACCCTTCAGGTAATCGCGGCATGTGTCTTCTGGCCTCCTTTTGCCGAAGTGATTTGGTAGATCGTTCCACCACTACCATATAACTGGCACGGTCAAGTCCTCGCGTAGAGTTGTCGCTGGTTGCAAAGGTATTGACGTGGCATCTGTTTCCCAACAAGCTCCCCTCATTTTTGGTCTCCCGCACAAGCTGTTCCCATTTCGCGCTCATAGGCATTTGCTCTGATACCGGCGTGCTACTAGTTGCGTCCGTTCATTGACACAACGCTAAACTCCCTTGGAGCGAACCTTCCTGAAAAGCGCTACTTCCACTCGTCTGCACTCCTAGTCCGGCACAGTAGATAGCTAGACGTTGAACTGAAATGATTCTGGAGTCAGTGGATATTTTCAAATGATATGGAAAATTAACGACAATGAAGGCGAATTAATCATAACCACGTTTTCAGTTTATGGGAGCTGAGATTCCTGAAAAATATGGCGGCCCAGGATCTTCATTCTTCGATGCGAATACTCATCATAGAAGAACTTGCCAAGGTGTCGTTTCAATCATTTGTTGTTTTTGTTGTTCAGAAGATTTTGCTGGAGGACTTTTCTTGGCGCAGTTCGGTTTGGTGGGCGCACCCAATGACACTTAGCGTAGCTAGTTCAGGCCACCTTATGAAGATCTGTGAACTCCTATGACCAAAAAGGCTCACTGACACTTTTTCACAGCTTCACAGGACTTCGCATGTCTCACCAAGTCTTCAAGTGTAATCTGTTAATTAACATGACCAGCAGAGGGATCTAGCGAAAGTGCAGAATGCCCCTCCCAAGCTGAACAGCGCCCTACTATTTGCATTCTCACCCATTACTGTTTACTTCAATACCTTTTTATAGATCGATCCGTCAGTATCGGTATTCGTTGATGTGCAAAATACACTCGTGGCCCCTTTGATAATGCAACTTGGAACCGAAGAACAGAAACAGAAATATCTTCCAAAAATCTCCACCGAGTGGGTAAGGTTGAACTTTATTGATATCTGGCTGTTCCGGCAGTCGTTTTTTTTTAATTCACATTGTTTCAATAATTACTGGATCAGTCACCTACTCTACTTTCTGGTGTATAAGGCGCACTTGTCGGCATATCCGCAGGGACGCACGCAGCGGCGCAACGGGCGCGGAATTCTTAAACACAGCAGTTGATTTTTAGCATATTTCTGCAATGATTTACCTTCCCAATGGCGTCCAATCAGGACAAGACCTGGGGAGAAGTTTGCAAATATTTCCCGTCCCCTCTCAAGGTTTCCTCCTCTGGTACGACCCTCCCCCTCCTTCCCCTTCCCGTTCCCAGTCTTACCTACCATCTACCTGAGCTTTATTAAGTTTCCCATCTCGTGTCCGTAGCTTCTTTTCAGGAACTCACTTCCCCCCCCCGCCTCCCACAAACCCACAAACCGTCATTAGCGGTATGGGAGGAGTTGAATGGTGCCAGTGAAGCAGAAAAAGCGAGATGGAACAACTAAAAGTTTATTCTCGAAGACATATACGACCTCCCACCTCCAGCGACCGGTGTGCAGGCCTCGGTAAGGATCACCAGCGTACAATGTGCCCTATTTCAAATACTTTTTTGCTTGTAGGCATAGGGGTACGATAATTCGGCACTCGATCTGAAATGGTAGCAGGGATGCTATATAGTGGGGAAAATGGCGAAAAAGCGAAGTGAAACGGTCAGGAACTTGCGGAAAAAAGCCGTTGTTCTACTCGATTCAGCATACAATTTCGGACGAGTTTCCCGCTGGCGTCGGCCAATAACCGCTGCGGTAGATACTGCTGCATGTGTGTACTCTTACATCCCAATTCATATCAATCCCTTCGCTTCATATAGTACTTCGCAGATGAAGCGATATGAGCACCCGCATCTCGGACGTTTGTGGGCAGGTGCAGTGGGCGTCCGTGTCGGTACGTTGTCACTTGATAGGCTACAAAACTACAAAAGTACCTTCCTCAGAGAAAGCGCCAGGCAGCGCCCGCTCAGGGGCGCTGTATTCTTTCCTGCTAGACGTCTGGACCATACGTGTTCGAGAAAAAAAAATACGCAGAGAGAAAGCGTGTAAAAATTTTTGCAGCGTGCTTGGCCAAGGTGCGCCCTATACATCAGAAAATAGGGTTATGCATACTTCTTTGATAGGTTTATTTATTAGTTTTCTTCAGGTCGGCTCATTTTGTCTATCCGAGAGTGGGTCAGGATCAGATGCTTTTGCCTTGAAAACTACGGCCAAAGCAGACGGAAACGACTTTGTCATTTCTGGATCCAAGTTGTGGATCACTAATGCTGGCCATGCCCACTTTTTCTTGGTTTGTTTTTTTCATTATGAATATTTTGAGTTCATACAGTACCTTGACACCTAAGGTATGTCAGAAAAGGCGGTATTGCAACCGCTACTGTCGATGCTCACAATGCCCCCCCCCTCACTGGTTGGGGTCGCTTTCTGAATCGGCTCTTGCCTGGGTCAACCCAGCGTTCCGTCCTTCGGCGAGCAGTGGATCAGCACCAGACCTTTGTCTGCTAGAATCTTGGGCTTCTTATAGGACCTCCGGTCAGTGGTCACCCACTCTACCCAAGGTACTTACAAAGCTAAGCGTCCCGGCGGTGGTGCGTGTGGCAGTGTACACCAGTTAAACGTGAGAGGGGAACCGCTTTCTAACATATTCCGGAATACTGCCGTTCGGGACCCCTTACATGCACAGCATAAGGAAGGGTGGCAGTTCTGTCGAATGGAAATATACCATGAAGAACGCATTCCACGCCTCATTAATGAAGAACGCCCTCCCAGTCAGGATGTGGAATAAATAGCTGATATACTTGGCATTGTATGGGACAAATGCTTTTCGGAAATTACCAACATGCAGTTGGAAAACTGAGTGCGCGGCATGTCTCCAAAGTATCCATCAACCCCCACCGCGTTTTTTCCTCACTCAGCCTATAGAAAACAGAAATTTTGGGTTTTTTTCGTAGTTTAGCTCCACCATAATTATCCACTTCATTACTAATTAGGCGGAGGTGGTGTAGTGACAAGTGGCGCGCCTTACTACCTGGCGGTCACTAGTTTAAATCCCGGGTCGACTCCCGCCCAGGCCAACCAAGCCTTCTACCCCCTCCCCCCGGGGACGGTAAATTGGTACCAGATTCGTCTGGGAGGATAAGAACACTGACTTGTACATCGGCTGGCCCCGCAAGTCATTGTATAGGCCACATCGCATTCAATAAGCCACTACGATTCTGAATGGAAGTAGAATGCGTGCCGCATCCCACAAAGGGATTGATCAACGGCGAAGACTTTATCCTTTTATCCTTTATAACAATTTATTTTACTGACAAAAATGAATTTATAGATGATGCTTATGATTACGATAATTTCTCCTGAAAAAAAATTGTTCAGGTATTTGCTAACGCTGATCCATCCAAAGGTTACAAAGGCATTACCTGTTTCCTAGTGGACAGAAATCAGGAAGGAGTTACAGTGGCAAAGAAAGAGGATAAATTAGGAATTCGTGCTTCATCCACTTGCCCAGTTCATTTCGACAATGTGCGAGTGCCTAAGACTGCTATACTTGGTGAATACGGGAAAGGTATGCTAGTTTTATTCTCATCCTCAGGCTTTCATGCTCCAGCTTTTCTCCACTATCTAATTGCTGAGAGCTACAGTTAGACCACAGGAGGAATTTCGTTGTTATATTAATGGTAATCCGCGATTAGGGTTTGTTGGTAAAAACCCTTGAAGACAAACTATACTTTCTCCTCCATAGATTCTGGTCTTTGCCGTGTATTGGGAGAGTGGGTAAGCAGCTGCAGTAGTGTGCCACTGTCTCCATTCTAAAGTCGCAGGAACGTGACTGTAGCGTAGTGACACCGCGGTGTGGAGTTCATGCTCCGCTCACCAAGCGCCAGGCGCCTAGCCATAGCTGAACCCGCTACTTGTCCGCGCCCTCTCATACTTGGTCGTTTTCCACCCCTTAGTACGGATGCTGATATCGACGCAATTGCTACGCCCTGAAGACAGCGCAGGCGGAGTCCGAAACGCCACCCCTGAATCGCTACCCTCTAGCCCGGATCCTGTGCACTTTGACGGAAAGTGGCACGCTACTGCAGCTCGCTTCTCACACTTGGAAGGATCGTCCTAGAAGATGAGTGCACAGCTTGTTTTTGGAAACCTTCCTCATATGCAATAAAATCCAGAGCCGCACGCAGTGTACCACTTCGTAGCTTGAAAGTGCGTGGTAACGACCAAGGGCTTGGGACATTAGTTTGATCCTTTTTCCAGACGGGCTCCTCCCGTAACAATGTGTGGCTCTGCATCCTCTTGCCAACTCGTAGTATGCTCTCTTGTATGCGTGCATAGTGTCCCTTAATTCTTTATCGCGTACTCATCTGACGCTTGAAAGCAACTGGAAAACGGAGGCCTTATTCAAAGTGTTCTTAGCCATTCCTTCTTCTTATGGGATCTTTCGGTGACTTGCTTCCAGTTCGCATATT